AAAACAGGAGGAACACGCTTATATGGAAGTTTAGGTTTGTTGTTGTGTTGCTTGGCCTAAAATGCGACCAAAGCCGAACTTCGGTTTCGGTTTCAGGAGTAAAAACTATTTTCTGTCAGACACTACTCGCATGCTTACTTTTCAAATAAAAGAAAATGACTTAAATATATGGGAATTAGTTTATCGAGTGTTATCGGCTAATGCCATCAGAGAACAACAATCTGTAAGTTAATGAAATAAAATCTCGTTAGTCGCTCACTAATTTAATTAAAACAAAGATAAGTCATCGTTAAATGAGCATTAAATGTAATTAAAACAAAGATAAGTCATCGTTAAGTGAGCATTGAATGTAATTAAAACAAAGATAAGTAATCGTTTTATTATTCTTTCTGTTATATTTCATTCCGCTTATTAAATTTCAGCGTCATAGATGGTTAGCGTGTCTCAGTAGGAACCACAATAAATATGACAGGATTATTTATTGCACGCGTGTGGAGAGCATCACCAACGAAGCGGTGATTTATTTTGTTTATTTAATAAGGCAGTTTTCATTTCAAGTGTATAATTTATTAACATCTCTTAGAACTATATAACACCTAATTATTTAAATTATCTTTGTGTGTGCAACATTTTTTTGCAATGATTTTCTTCCATAACGTGTTAAAAAATAAACTAAACTTCTACTGATCTTACTGTATAGATTTTTTCTATTGACAACGCTAAATTTTGAGAGAAAAAATGTTATAAAGCACAGGACTAGCTGTCCAATAGGAAAGTATTACAAACGAAACAAGGTCTTCTACCTTGTGTAAATGTAATACTGTCTACTGAAATGTATGTGTGTCGAGATTTTATATTTTTGTTAATAAAAGGGCGTAATCGCAAGCAAATGGTCGTAATCGTGGGAATGAGCACCGCTTATTTACGTTCATACTGTAAGAATGTTCGTGTGTTGTCATTTTTTACAAAATATATCGGTCCAGAGCCAGAAAAAACAATTTACTTAAACCATACAGTTATTTAGATATGAAAGACAGAAAATTCATTTTTGTTTAACTATACAGCGTGTCGCTACTAACGCGACCATAAATCAAAACACATTAAGGGGATAACTTATTGAAATTGTATTAATCATTTACATTCTTTAAACATCAATATTTACAGAGTTATTGAATTTTCCAAAACAAACAATTTTAGAACACCCTTACGTATAAAACTAACAACGTAACGTAAAGTTGAATGAATTTGAAAGGTCACAAAGCATTTGAATGGGTTGAATGAATTTGAAAGGGATAAAACATACTGTTAGATGGAGAGATTTGTAATGCGACGCTGCGGCAACGAATGAAAAAGTGTCTGAATGTATGAATCAGTCAGCTGTTGTTGTATAGGATGTCACAAATTTTGTTTTTTTTTTATTTAATTAGTTAGTTTGAAAATATTTTTTTTAATTATGAATTTTTTAACGCAATAATATATATTCATATATATTCTTAGCAATAATATATATTCTAAGCAAAAATTTTAGCAAATTGTAACATTATATCCTAACGTTCAAATAATGGAGCAATAGATTGCGGGAATGGTGCCCAGGGGAACATTCAAGGTATTAACGGATGTATATTCTGGGCGTTATGACTTCCAAACTTTGCTCCAAAATAAGGACTTGGCATGTGTATAAACTAAACCCTTTTACATAATACAAATAGTCGTTTTTGAATAACCTTTGCTCTAAGTTTAAAAATGATCGACCTTGAACTAAAATGTATATGATGTTTAAGTAACATAAAGTTTAATCTTAACAACTATTATTAAATATTTAAAAGTTTTTTATAGTGCTAATCTCTGCACTTAAGATTGAACATTAAAACATGTAGAAAAAGTACGAAAAGATTGTCGCCGCTGTGTTAACTGTGTGACTATTATTAAGCTTTGTTCAAAGCCTCCCGTTATTAAGAAAAACTTTTAAATTAGTGTCGGCATGAGAGAGGACGTACCCTAGGTTTTACTACAGTAACTTAAAAATATTAAAGAACTTAAAATAGGGAGCCATATCTATGCTAAGAAAATTTCTCTGTATTTGTGCTAAATATTTAGATCTAGCTTAAAATAAAATTTCAATAGGAAAGGTGACATTCATTGTAAAAATGTGATAAATAGCGAAAACGTGATTACTGTAGAGGAATCATATTAGATAACGCCAAGCAAAGCTACAAATGCAGGATGCTTTATTTAGCGGCTAAAGCATCTTGACGCGTAATCCGGTAGCCGCGGGTTCGAATCCTCGCGAAATAGTATATTTTTAATAACAAGGTTTTTGACATATTGATGTAAATTTAAAAGTATAAGTTATTTTCTAAAAATCATTTTTATAAATTAATTTACGATGTCAATACTGAAATGAATTTTGGTTAGACCGCTAAAGGGGCTGTTGCTACTTTGCTTAATTGATAAAGTGGCTCACTTGAAGTGACTCCGCGTGAGGAACAACTGTCACACTATTTCAACCGGTTGCTTTAAGAAAAATATGCGAGTACTTATCTACGCACGTAAGAAGTCATGCTTCTTTAGCGTAACAAAGAAAGATAACTAAAAATTTTATCTCCTGTGCCAACTGCCAGTACTCTTTGTTTGTGAAAAAGAAAATAAATCCAATTGATAATGTTTTAACCTAACAACTTGGAATTATATAGAGCAAGAGCCCGTGAACGCCAGAACTTCGTAATTTTGTAAAAGCTGAAAGTTTCTTTTGACAAACTGCGTTTCGTTTTACACTTCTGCGTAGTGTAAAACTTCCCGGCCACCTTACTCACTAGTGAGGTCGTCGGAACCCACATTATTAAAAGGGGGTAACGCTTTAAAAAAATATGGGTGCTGCAATTGTCCATGGGCGGCGGCCATTTTCACACATGAAACGATAACGACTAAACAATGTCAGAGGAAATAAAAGTGAATCCTGAAAAACAATCAAACAAGTTCGTTTTACTGGTGGGCGAATGGAAGCGTTTTCTAGAAGAACATAATATCAACGTTTTCTTTCGATAATAATCTCTTATATACTGATTTTTCTGAAACATTGGGAGTTAAAACCAAATTAAACACGATGTTATAAGAAGGATCTTGTTAATATTACTTTTAAAAAGATTCAAATAGAGACCTAAATTAATCCGCTCTCCTTTGACGAAAACATTTAACAATAAAATTAAATGAGAAATTCTGGGTCGAATTAAGACCATTTGTACCACTTTTTCTGTTTTTCGATGTTGGAGGAATTGTTAATTCGGAATATTCATTGCATTTATTTCTTTTCTATAATACTTAATCAAGCGTAGAAAATTATGAGGTTTGTATAAAACCCAGTTAAATGTATTTTTTTCTATAAAAAGCTAAATGAAATAACAGCTGCCAACTTAGGTGCTTTTTCTACTCTCATTACTGTGATGTCAAAAATTATTTGCCAATTAAACATTTTCACTATACTTGTCACACACTATAAGTGTCTGTTCGTCTCTAAGTTAAAAATCTAGGAATGGAGCGGGAATACCTGGAGATAGAAGAAAAAGGATAGTAGGATCCAGAGCTCAGACTGCCCGAGAGGAGACACATTACATTACACTTTAATGCGACACCGTCTAACTTTTACCGATGTATGGAACGTGTTCCCATATATCATTATGATTTTTATATGTACTTTCGCAATAAGATACGATTATAATTGCTTCGCGAGAGTATCTCCCTATAAGGAAATGTATTCTAGGCTCAGTAAAGCATAAGACCATTGACAGTAAGACATTGGAACTTCAGCCTAATTCTTTTAGCCGAAAATTGAACTTTTAACCAAGACTGGCCCAAACTGAAACAATTTCGGTCGGACTGTGATGATAAGATGACTGTTTTCATTGTATGATTGTTTTAATGATTTGGACGCAACGTTGAAAGGACTATAAACGGTATCCTATATTCAAATATAATTTTGAAGGAATTGGACGATAAATGAAGAAAATTAAAATTCGCCGTGATGTGAGCTATCACCATATTTTGACTGCTTTTCCTGAAAATTTTTAATAAGAGTTTTTCATGCACTCCTATTTACTTATATTTCTTTAACATTTCCTTATTCTTCAGATAATTACATTACTTGCTTAAAATCGTTTGAATATTCCCCATAGTGTAATATATTTTAGATCATTTATATGTAACATTTTTAAATTAAAACAGGTTTTTATCCTAGCTTTGTTTCTTTTGAATACGGTTCTCAGCTTTATGAATTTTACAGTAAAGTTTTAAACTGCAAATACTTTTACATTGGATTGGACTATGTTTGATTTTTGCCACAATTTGCTAAGCTTAAGCCCTCCCAACTAAAAAAAAGTAAAATTTTAATGATTCAAAGGTTTTTAAAAAGTTTTGATTTGTCCTAATGCAAGCACTTGGAGTATAAGGTTTATTGAACACAAAACGAAAAATCTTTCGGATCCGCAGTGGTATTTATTTATTTTGAAATAAAATTTGAAAGTAGTCAGAACTCTTAAGTTAAATTAGCAAAGAAGTTTGGTACGCGATCGTATTGCTAACGGAGCTCTTCGTTTAAAATACTCGATCTGTTGAAATGTTAAGATTAAGTTTCGTAATATTGTCATATGATTGTTTTACTATTACATTATAAAATAAATATTTTTTTGCAAGAAAATTTATAAAATAAAAGAATTAAATTTTTTGTTTCTTGTTAATTCCAGAAACATATGGCTAGTATATTTTTTTTATTAGTATAATTGTAGTGGACTGTATTTAATTTTGAATGTTCTTCTAATAAAAGAGTTCTTCCTTGTAGACGTTTATTATTTTTCATCACAATTGAGCCGTATTGTACAATTTTTTTTTTTTTTTTTTTTTTGGGCTGGATGAGCCACTGTTGGCCTTAGGGGCCTTTACAGTTCCGACGGACTTGAGGTGGCCTGGCGCACGAGGCGCCTAGCCTGAACCTCTGCGTATTATTATTACGCGTTATGGTGACTAAGCTCGAGGGCTCCCGGGGGAGCCTCGGCTCGGGCCGGCTCGTTATCACCGGTTTGGGAGGCCGCCAAGCTCTTAGGGCGCTTTGGCGGGCGCTCCATGGAGTGATCAGGCTCAAGGGTCCCCGAGAGGGGACCTCGGCTTGGGCTGTCACTCAGCACGCGTTTAGCATTCCGATTCGAGGGTGCCCGAGAGGGCCGGACCTCGGCTCGATCGGTAGCTATTATCTGACTGGGGGAATTACTAGAGCTAACATTACTACCACTTCGGAGAGCGTTGGCGCTGGGAGAAGAAGTGGCGGAAGAAACTCCAGCAACGCTTCTATCATTAATAGGGGAAAACCTGCCAGGTACGTGGCGGAACCTAGTACATGTTTGCCGCACTCGCCGGCGAGTGCGGTGTGTGTTGGTGTGTTTCTTGAGTTTTTTGATCCTTTCGATGGCGATCGTCGTCTCATCGTCAGGGAAGTCGAGAACGTGACGCGGTCTTCGGTAGTCGCGGCGGAAAATATTTAGCGGCAAGGGCCTGTAGGTGACGGCACCTACGATAAGTGAGTTGGGATGCGCGGCGGCGGAATCGAAATATCGGCGCGACGCCGACTTCAGGAGTTGCGCGATGGTGGGCAATTCTAGATCGATATGTAGGTCGATATTGCGCATGAACCAGGGTGCTCCCGTGGCTCTGCGCAAGAATCGATTTTGAATCACCTGAAGCCGGTGTATTTGCTTCGGAGCAATGTGAGCGAAGACGGGGCTCGCGTACGTCATGATAGGGCGAACTACTGCCTTATATAAGGTCACCTTGTTCCGAAGGGACATTTTAGACGTTTTATTGAGGTAGAGGCGACCGAATACGAAGGCCGCCCGGTTCCTGACCTGGGTCACGTGCTGGGTGAATTTAAGCTGGGAGTCGAGGACGACGCCTAGATATTTGACTTTATTAACCCATGGTACTGGGCTGTCCAAGAGTTTAACGGGGGGTGGAATGGGTATGTTCTTTTTGTGCGCGAAAAGGACTGCCGCGCTTTTGGCGGGATTGATTTCGATCCTCCATTGCCGAAACCAGTCACCGATGGTGATGGCCGCAGCTTGGAGGCGTCGATGGATCAATTCGGGTGTTCTGCCTGTGGTATAGATACAGGTGTCGTCGGCAAAAAGAGCAAGTTCTACATCTTTGACACGCGGCATGTCATTGGTGTAGAGAGTGAACAAGAATGGTCCCAACACAGACCCTTGGGGCACCCCGGCTCGAACGGGATGCGTAGTCGAACACACGCCCTCGACGCGATAGCGAAAGGTTCGATTACTTAGGAAGTCTCGAATTATGCATACGAGACGGTCGGACACTCCGTACCCGTATAGCTTGTATACGAGCCCGTTGTGCCAGACTTTGTCGAACGCTTTTGCCACGTCCAGGAAGAGTGCACCGGTGTTGAGTCCACGTTGACGTTTAGTTAAAATGTGCTCCGTGATGCGGTGCACTTGATGGGTACATGAGTGTTTGGCTCTAAATCCAAACTGCTCTGGGATGGGGAGCCCTTTGGTGTCCATAAGGGATCTTAAGCGGGCTAATATTAGTCTTTCAAAGATCTTCCCAAATGTTTTGAGAAGACTTATTGGACGATATGAGGTTGGGAGAGTGGCGGGTTTAGAGGGTTTGAGGAACCCTATGACATCGGCTTCCTTCCACTCGGATGGGAAGAAGCCTTCGGTTAAGGCCGCGTTGTAAATTAATACTAGTATCTGAAGGATGCTAGTAGGGAGGAGCTTGGTCACCTTATTGGTGATACCATCTGAGCCTGGTGCTTTACGCGGGCGTAGTTTATTAATGGTGTCTATTAGTTCGGAGCACGTGACTGGGGGAACGGGATCGCGAAGTGGCTCTAAGGCTTTCCTTTCTACCTCTTCGTTCACCTTGCTTCGTTCACTTCGTTGTTCGGGGTCGATCGGAAGCAGACTGGGGGAGCATTGAGACTCTAGGCTGTCAGCCAGGCATTCGGCCTTCTCTTCTTCAGCATTGCTGGCGTACCTATCGGACGGACTAGTGGCGGCATGGTTGTTATGCCGTTACCCTTGAGGGATTTGGGAAGTTTCCAGAAGGCTACGTGGGATGGTTTTACTGAAGTTAGGGTGGAGTCCCATCGTTCGTTTCGTGAGTCTGCTATGCGTGTTTTGACCTCACGCTGCAATTTACGTAGCAGTCTACGATTCGAGTCGGTGGGATATCTATCATAGGCTCGAGTGGCCGCATTCTTGCGTCTCAGCAAGTCTCGCACATCGTCTGGCAGGGCCCAGCGATGGTCTTCCATCGCCGGGACCTGTCTCGAGCATTGCTCGACGACGGTGTTAACGTGACTTGTGAGGGCTCGAATTGCGGTTTCCGTGTCCTGTTTGGTATTCAATTCTCTAGGGATTGACTCTAGTTGTGGAGGATTAGGTTCGTTAAATTTAGATTTGATTTTATGCCAGCTGATGACAGTTTTGGTTAGGGGAGCGGCTGTTGCTGAAGGCCCTAGCCGGAGGAGAACTGGTCGGTGATCGGAGTGAAGCTCGTGTATCACTTCCGGTTCGCATAAGGAGAGACTGATGTTTTTGACGAGTGCAATGTCAAGCACATCCGATGTGTGTCCCTCTACGTAAGGAAAGCGCGTATGTTCGACGGGGGCAGCGACTTCAAAGTCGAGCCTGTCGGATAGCGAGTCGAGTGCGGTGCCTCGACTGTTGGTACGTGTCGAGTTCCATCGGGTGTGCTTGCTGTTGAAGTCGCCAGCTAGGATGGTGGCTCCTCCTATAGAGAAGAGGGCCTCAAAATCTGAATGCAATATTGTTGCGGTTGGTCTGCAAGGGAGGTAAACTGATGCTATGGTGATAGGAGAGTGGCCGGTTAAAGTCAGCTGACAGACGGAGGCCTCGAGATGCGTGAGCGCGGGCGTGTCTACCGGTACGCAATGGAGAGATTTTTTTATAGTATATAAGTGTGCCGCCGCCCGGAGCGCCGACACGATCGTTCCTAACTATTCGATAATTGGGGATGTTCGGATCCCTTGTCGCGGGTTTCAGGAACGTCTCCTGAATGAGAAGTATATCGATTTGGTGGTCGCGTAAGAAAATACGTATTTCGTCGCGTTGCTCTTTAAGCCCGTTCGCGTTGTAGAATGCTACATTAATCGATCGCGGTTTGACTCTGCAATTATTACGCGTAGCAGAGAGACTGGTGGTGCTATTATTATTATTGTTTAGGGGTGTATTATCCATTTTGGGTCCCTAGACAGATAACGCAGCAACTATGTGCTGGTATTGGTTCAGGAGTAGGAGTCTTGAGGAGAAGTTGCCTTCAGCGTATTGCTGGGCAAAATACATAACCTCCGCCATGTTGACGGTTCGGAGAAGTTGGCTCAGCGAGTTCAGGGGGTTACTTCCGGTCGCTGGTGTTGGTGGGACCGGGATAGGGATTGGAGCCGGCTGTGCGGCTAGTTTGGGTGCCATGATAGGCGGGTTAGGTTTGGCCCAAGCGGGGGCCATAGGGTTCTGCCACGCGGGGCGTAGAGGTGGGAAGGAAGCAGCCGTCGGTACGGGTGGTCTTCTGGTGGCCTGAGGGGCCGGTTTGGTGGGTCTGCGCTTAGGCGCGTTGGGACAGCCGAGGTAATTAGCTGTGTGGCCTTCTTTTTGGCACAGCACGCAAGCGGGAGGCCCGTAGCTCACTAAGAGTGCCTTATCTTTAGGCCGGGGGCAGTCTGGGGTGCCGTGGTCTCCTAGGCACTTGACGCACCTAGGCCTGGCGAAGCAATTACGGGCTGCGTGCCCGTATTTTTGGCATTTATGGCATTGCCCTGGGAGCACGCCTTTATGCGGGGGTTCTACGACTATGTTGTCTAGTCCTAGCACGGATTGTATGTTAAAAATTTCCTTCCCTGCCGGAGTCAACTCAAGGTGGACCATGACTAGGTCTATGGGAGTGCGCATGCGCTTACTGGTCATGCGATGGACTGCAAGGACCGGGAGGTTTTGGTTTTTGAGTGATTCGAACACTCTGTCGGTGGATATGTTTCCAGGGATCCTCTTAAATACCACGCGGAGAATTCTATCCTCTGCGAGAGTGTAGGTGTGGTAAAACACCTCCTTGTCTCGCAGGAATTTTGAAACCTGCCTGTGGGCGTCGGCTGTCTCAAGCTGTAGTTTGATGCCTTGGGTGGTGGACGTTGCGCTAAATTTGACCCTATTAGATAGGGCGGACTCGATCATTGGCCACTTTGAGGTGTCCTGAACGAAGATGGGAGGTGGCCGCTTGTCTTGCGGCGGACGAGGGGCCGCGGGAGGCGTAGCAACCGGGGTTGAGATCGCTGAAGGCGATGGGGTTGGGATCGCTGAAGGCGATGGGGTTGGAATCGCTGAAGGCGATGATGTCGGTTGGGTGGGCACTGAGGGCCCGGCTACGGCCGATTCGGTCGGCCTTGGCGCCTTAACTGGCGGTACGGGGGACGTGGCCGTTGAAGACGGCTGGGAGGTGCGCTTCTTGCGCTTCTTTTTGTTCACCACTTCGGTGAACAAACCTCCTTCATCGGCGTCGGGAGAAAGGGGCGAGTCTAGCTCCATTTCCTCTTGCGAGGAGGAGCTCGCTGCAGCATCGTCGGTCGAGGTGGATGCCCTTGAGGAGGGTCTTGACAATTCTTTAAGTGCCTGAAGGGCATCTTTAAAAGCTTCAGGGTGCTTTGCCTGAAGGGTCATTAATATGGCCTTAATTTCGGCCATCTTTTAATTTAGGGAAAAATTTTTACTATTTAGTAAGCCCGGTGGGATGCCGGGGTGTGTCCGTATCTCTCCCTGCCGGGTATAGGCAGGGAGGATGAGTGCCTAAATTGTGTGACCCTAGTGCGTCCTTGTGCCGATCTTATTGTGCACGCGGGTGTGTGCTTATAGCTAATTAAAAACTACCCGAGGGCGCTAAAGGGCCAAACGTGAACCACCGCTGACTAGGGACTACACCCAAGGCCAGTGATGGTGGTCCCTTCCGAAAATTCACGGTTCTCAGGAGAGAACCGCAAGGCGATCGGGGCAAGCCTTGGCTAGTTTCGTTATCACCGTTAGGTATCCACTAGCCCTAAGACGTCGAAACAGAACCGCTGCTAAGCGTGTTGGTCGGCGCAGTCAGTACTGCACCTCGCAACTCGACTTGCGAGCGGGGTGCCCACTCGAAATAAAAATTACGAGTGAACGCGGCGCGCGACGACTGAGCGTCCGCGGCGAGCGAGTCGGCACGCGGAAGCGGACAGGGGTGGGGAGTAGCAGAGTAGAGAGAGCGCGTGCCAAGGCGTGCGTTCGTCTCGACTGCTGCGAGCGGAATGTCGCATCTTTAAGATTTCCCCCACGATATAAAAAAGGATAGGGCCTGGAATGTGGACTGGTAATCGGAGACCGCGACTTTTAATCCTCGGGTGAAACACCAACGAATTTTTGTTACTTCATTTACGACAAGCAAAAAAAATGTTATTTATTGTCTTATTCCATATTCATACCGTCGATTGATATAGTTGTGTAAGAAGTGCATATAATAATTTACTACTACAATTTAACTTTAGTGAAGTTATGCAAAATATAATTCAGAATAACTTCACTAAAGTTAAATTGTAGACGTTTTGACCGAATGTTACCGAGTGGAAATTGTCCTCGCGTAAGCTTTCGTCCGGAAATAGATGCACCTTCTTGAAGGAAAAATCGGAGGCAGCAATACATCAAACTTTTAACATTCATTGGAATATTTTCGCTGTAAAGTTTATAGCTATGCTTGAAGATTTTCAGTTCCTTTTGGAAATATGAACCCCAAGAAAGCAATAGCCTCTTTTCACCCCCAACGTTCGTACCTGCTACTGAGTTTTAATTATAGGTTTATAATTTTTTGCTTAATAAAAAGGAAATTATTTTTTGCTGTTAAAATCGCATAACACAGTGACCCTATATCCCATGGTATACAATTATGATAATTAATAAAAAATATGATAATTTTTGTATGATGCCGATGAGTTTTTTTTCCACTACATTGCTGTTTGTTTAAGTTACTGCAATTAATATAGTTATTATATTTTTTGTTAGAGAGCAAAAAATCACCAGTTGATGTGTTCACTTTTATTTTTTTATTCTCAATAATCTTTAAATTTTACATTAGTTTCTATTACGCGTGGGCACTATATTTTTTCCTCTTTCTAGTAAGAAGTTTAGTAAGACTGTTTAATTTATGAGTGTGTTAATTTTGTAACTTTGACGTTTTATTTTATTCAGTAGGTACTCCTTCTTTAGTAAGATTAATGAAAAGTTTGTGGCTGCGGAAGACAATATATCAGATCAGTGATAACATGGACTTTCATTTTTTTTTAATTAAAAGAAATTAGAAGTTAGTAAGCAAAATTATTTGGGACATTTGCTGGAAAAAAAGTTGAAGTTCTTTTGTTTTTATAATGGTTTCTGTTGTTTAGATGAACATAGCAAATTGTTTAATAGAACTTATTTAGGATTTTTTTTTGGTTGGACATGATTTATTTAAATTGATTAAAAATTAT